GGAATTTAAAAAATCATTTGCCTTAAAAATACTAAAGGAGAAATGAAAATAGGAAAAGCATTTTATTACATATGACTGATAAATGATTAATATCAAAAATTTATAAGTGCTCCTATTAGAAAAAAAGTTATGTCAATTTATAAAATAAAATTTTTTTGAAAAGTTAATATATTAATGTAGATATATAAATAACTAACAGACAGTTGAAAAGGTACTCAAAGTCACTAATTATCAAAACATGCAAATTAAAAGTATAAGATATTTTCTCTTTTCACATTGGAAAAGTTTTTGGAGACCTAAAATACTTAATGTTGATGAAGATACAGGGAAATCAGTACTTTTGTACACTAGTGAAGGGATTAAAATGGGTCTAACCTTTTTGAACCAATTTCAAAATTATTTTCAAAAATTTAAATGTGCATATATTTTGTTTCAAAGTCAACTTGTAGGAATATATCCTGCAGTTATTAAAGAAATGCGTACCGTAGTATTTTACTGCACAATTGTTCAGGTAATGCAAAATTAGAAGCAACCTAAATGCCACCATTAATAGAGAAATAGTTAAATAAGTGGTGATGGTCATAACATAGAGTATTTGTGGCCATTAGAAAAAATGAGGTAGATTCCTGTGCAATTATTGTGACCTAGGAACATGCCTGTGACATTTTCTTAAGTGCAAAAAAGGGAATGACAAGATGGTATTAATCATAAGAACCTTTTTTTTAGTAAGCAGGCACATCTTTATTCATCAAAAAGCCTTAACAATGCTTATCTCTGGTAGGTTAATATTATTAATGACTTGTACTTTCACTATGCACATATCTGTAACTTTTGAAATGTTTTGAATGTGAATGTATTTCTTTTATAATCAAACTTTTAAACAAATGGATAAAAGAAACCCTAGTTAAGAAAAACAAAAAACATAAAAGGGGAGATGCTCCAGGAATATATATTTGAAAGGTAGGAGAAAAATACTTTTTGAGAAAATGCTTATAGATATGCGATGCATCTGGCAGGTGTGACACTCCATCTAGTTAGCATCATTTTTTAAAAGATCAGCAAATTCATGATGGAATTTTAGCTTAATAAATTAGGTACAATATATCTTTGGATTTTATGGATTTAATGTTTAGCGTTTCCATTGAAACTTTATGATGTAAAGTAATTTTTCATTTTTCCAAGGCATAAACTTGAGTTAGGTGCTGAAAAGCTGGTTTGTGGGATACAAGTCATTTAGCTAGGAGCAAAGTTTACAAATGGGCAAGAATCTTCATTTCAACAAGGCTTTGTTTTTTTTTTTTTTTTCTAATTGCACATCCTGTAGTTATACTGTACCACTTACCTGTAAAGTAATAAAATCTACCTTTGTGAAAAAATGACCAGTAAAGGAAAAGAAAGGCAATTTTAGATGTGGGTATTCACTCAAGAACCTCATGTTATGTTAGTGTACAAGCCTTTAGATATAGGAAAAGGCCATATTATCTGTGTTTGTGTAGCACCTCCCTTCCCTTCCACCTACTTCCGGTGAAAGGTCCTTTTCTCCCTGACAGCACATGTGAGCATGTGCTCAAGATTTGGACAGTTGATCAGAACACCTTTTTCTTTCCTGATCACAGTCATTACTTAAGGCTTGAAACAGTCAGAATCTGTCTTAGATTGGGTCCCACAGGAGTAGACCCTGAGATGAGGAGTGCTATGAAATGATTTATTAGGAAGTAGTCCAAGAGACATCTAGAGAAAAGTTAGAGAGGAAGGGAGTGATATTGGAAAGGAAGAACACCAAGCAAGCCTGTGATGTCAAGCAAGGTCCTACGAAGGATATTGTGTCAGGGGTCCCCAAGACCACTCCCAGGTTTGATGATTCACTAGGAGGATTCACAGGACTCAGCATATAATCGTGCTCATGGCTATGATTTTTTACAGTGAAAGGATACAAAGCAAAATGAGCAAAGAAAAAGGGTGTGTAGGGTGAGGCTCAGAGGAAACCAGACATAAGCTTTCTTGAATCCTCTTCTACTGGAGTCACACAAGACACTCAATTTCCCCCGTAAATGAGTTGTGACAACACATAAGAAATGTTGCTAACCAGGGAAGTTCATTAGAGGCTCAGTGCCCAAGGCTTTTGTTGGGGGCTGGTCACATAGGCACCCTCAGCCTGGCACTTACCAAAGTTCCAAACTCCCAGAAGGAAAGCTGGTGTTCAGCATGAACCATATTGTTTGTACAGCTTAGGTACGGTGACTCTTATCAGAGAATGGGGAAACCCTTCTGAAATCCAAGTTCCCAGATGCCAACCAGGGGCCAACCTTGCAAGTGGACTTTTAAGGTTAGCAATTTCAGTCCTTGATATGTTAACTCTTTCCTACACAGATACCTTTGGTTCAATCCCATAGGAAAGCTCTGAAAACTGTGTAGGCTACACCTGACTTTTGGGTAAAGGAACTAAAGACATAAATTTCCAGACACTTCTAGCAATCTGTGTGGGCAGGCCAAGCTGGTTCCAGCTGTCTGAGGGCAAGTCCTCCAACAAAGAGATGCAGGTGTTGGCTGTTGAGAGTGACAGCCCACTGGGAGACATGTGCATAAAAAATAGTCCTGACCCTGAGAGGATATGGGTGAAGTTCTGACAGCATCTGCTACAGTGGTCCTTCCTGGGATGGTATATACTGAACCAGTGATACAGAAATCATCCTCTTGAGATAGGCAAGCTGGCACATGAGCCTAACGCTGCATGTAGGTATGTTCTCCACCTGCTGGAGAAGACCCTTCCACAGTAGCTGAGAATGGAATCTGCACTTACAGGAAAGCAGAGAAAAGATGAGTATAGAAAATCCTAATAGTGTTTCAAGTTCTACTTGAAACCATCTCTAATATCAGTCCTACTAGGGGTCCTCTTTTTTTTCCTTCCAGTTTTATTGACTGGAACAGTGTTTGAGGGGTACAGCATAATGATTTGACTTACATATATCACGAAATGATTAACACGATATTTAGTGAACATCCACCATCTCATATAGATAAAAAATAAAAGAAAAAGAAAAACAACCTGTTTTCCTTGTGAGGAGAACTCTTAGGATTTACTCCGAACAACTGTCTTAAAACAACAGCAGATATAATTGTATTATCATGTTGTACATTACATCTTTAGTACTTATTTATTTGGAACCATTCCCCCCTCCCCGCAACTCCCCACCTCTAGTAACCACAAATCTGATCTCTTTTTCTATGAGTTTGTTTTTTTGAAGCATAATTGACCTACAACACTGTGCTAGTTCCTGATGCACAAACATAGTGATTTGATATTGCTATACATTACAAAATGACACCATGTAAGTCTAGTTACCATCTGTCACCATACAAAGTTATTACAGTACTATTCACAATATTCCCTATGCTGTACATTATGTCCTCGTGACTTATTTATTTTATAACTGGAGGTTTCTACCTCTTAATCTCCTTCACCTATTTCTCTCATCGCTTCAACCCTCTACCATGGATCCTCTTATCTTAGCCTGTAGCACATCTCCTTAATTTAGACTTTTATAGCTTGCAACCATTCCAGAGAGTCCTGTTAAAAATACTCTGTACATTACCTATTGCATCTCGCAGATCATGGATACCCGATTCAGAGATATTTGATAGTAAACTTTATTTCCTTTTTTTTTTTTTTTTTTTTTTTTTTTTTTTTTTTTTTTTTTTTTTGCGGTACGCGGGCCTTTCACTGCTGTGGCCTCTTCCGTTGCAGAGCACAGGCTCCGGATGCGCAGGCTCAGCGGCCATGGCGCTGAGATCGATCTTCCCGGACTGGGGCACGAACCCATGTCCCCTACATCGGCAGGCGGACTCTCAACCACTGCGCCACCAGGGAAACCCATTTATTTTCTTTTAAAGTTAGGAACTTCGATTAGTGGATTCCATGTTAGGTATTTACTAAAACAGATTTTGACAAACTACAGCCAAATCTACCACTCCAGCCCCCCTTCTCTCAAGCACCCCTCCTAGTCTGTTTTTGTAGGACCACAAGAAAGAACAGTTTTTACATTTTTAAATGGTTGAGGGAAAAAATTAAAAGAATATTTTGTGATACATAAAAATCATATGTAATTCAGCTTTCAGTGTTTATAAATAATGTCTTTAATTTTATGAATAAAATATGTGTGGAAATTTGTTCTCTTTCATGTCATATGAGTACCTACATAATAGTCTTGATTTTGCCTCTTGGTCAACAAAGCCTGAAATATTTATTATCTGGACCTTTCAAAAATGTTTGTTAATCCCCATCTGAGAACAATGGAAGAGGAAAACTGACTAACCCTTCTTTGGGGAAGGGACCATTTGTTATTATATATTTTTTAATAATCACATATAATAGTACTTAGAAAAATTCTCTGAAAGTAGAAACATGGAAGACATTGATATCCTACCCTAATAATGGCAGATGGAGGAGTAGCTTAATGATAGTGACCAACCATCACTAAATGATGACTACAGTGACTGAAGACAATGAATACTGCTATCTGCTTGCCCTTTAAGGCATAGTAAGGTGAAGGGGAATTGATGAACCTCTTCCTTGTGATTAGTTTTTTTTTTTACATCTTTACTGGAGTACTATTGCCCCACAATGGTGTATTAGTTTCTGCTTTACAACAAAGCGAATCAGCTATACCTACACACACGTTCCCATATCTCCTCCATCCTGCGTCTCCCTCCCTCCCACCCTCCCCACCCCACCCCTCCAGGCTGCCACAAAGCACCGAGCCGATCCCCCTGTGCTACGCGGCGGCCTCTCACCAGCCACCTACCCCACGCCCGGTAGTGTATACATGTCCATGCCCCTCCCCCGCCCCGTCACAGCCCACCCCTCCACCTCCCCATATCCGCAAATCCACTCTCCAGTAGGTCTGCATCTCTATTCCCGTCCTACCCCCATGCTCTTCATGACTTTTTTTTTCCCTTAACTTCCATACACATGTGCTAGCACATGGTACCCGCCTTTCTCCCTCTGACCCACTTCACCCTGCACGACAGACTCCAGGTCCATCCACCTCACCACAAACAGCCCAATTTCGTTTCCCTCCATGGCTGAGTAATACTCCACTGTATACATGTGCCTCTATCTCCGGGCTATTGTAAATAGAGCTGCAATGAACATTATGGTACATGACTCTTTTTGAATTATGGTTTTCTCAGGGTATATGCCCAGTAGTGGGATTGCTGGGTCATATGGTAGTTCTATTTGTAGTTTTTAAAGAAACCTCCATACTGTTCTCCACAGTGGCTGTATCAATTTACATTCCCACCAGCAGTGCAAGAGGGTTCCCTTTTATCCACCCCCGCTCCAGCATTTATTGTTTCTAGATTTTTTGATGATGGCCATCCTGACTGGTGTGAGATGATATCTCATTGTAGTTTTGATTTGCATTTCTCTAATGATTAATGATGTTGAAAATTCTTCCATGTGTTTGTTGGCAGTCTGTATATCTTCTCTGGAGAAATGTCTACTTAGGTCTTCTGCCCATTTTTGATTGGGTTGTTTGGTTTTTGGTTACTGAGCTGCATGAGCTGCTTATAAATTTTGGATATTAATCCTTTGTCAGTTGCTTCATTTACAAATATTTCTACCATTGTGAGGGTTGTCTTTTGGTCTTGTTTATAGTTTCCTTTGCTGTGCAAAAGCTTTGAAGTTTCATTAGGTCCCATTTGTTTATTTTTGTTTTTATTTCCATTTCTCTGGGAGGTGGGTCAAAAAGGATCTTGCTGTGATTTATGTCATAGAGTGTTCTGCCTATGTATTCCTCTAAGAGTTTGATAGTTTCTGGCCTTACATTTAGATTTTTACTCCATTTTGAGCTTATTTTTGTGTATGGTGTTAGGGAGTGATCTAATCTCATGCTTTTCCATGTATCTGTCCAGTTTTCCCAGCACCACTTATTGAAGAGGCTGTCCTTTCTCCACTGTACATTCCTGCCTCCTTTATCAAAGATAAGGTGACCATATGTGCTTGGGTTTATCTCTGGGCTTTCTATCCTGTTCCATTGATCTATATTTCTGTTTTTGTGCCAGTACCATACTGTCTTGATTACTGTAGCTTTGTAGTATAGTCCAAAATCAGGGAGCCTGATTCCTCCAGCTCCATTTTTCTTTCTAAAGATTGCTTTGGCTATTCGGGGTCTTTTGTGTTTCCATACAAATTGTGAAATTTTTTGTTCTAGTCCTGTGAAAAATGCCAGTGGTAGTTTGATAGGGATTGCATTGAATCTGTAGATTGCTTTGGGTAATAGAGTCATTTTCACAATATTGATTCTTCCAATCCAAGAACATGGTATATCTCTCCATCTATTTGTATCATCTTTAATTTCTTTCATCAGTGTCTCATAATTTTCTGCATACAGGTCTTTTGTCTCCTTAGGTAGGTTTATTCGCAGATATATTATACTTTTTGTTGCAAAAATAAATGGGAGTGTTTTCTTGATTTCACTTTCAGATTTTTCATCATTAGTGTATAGGAATGCCAGAGATTTCTGTGCATTAATTTTGTATCCTGCTACTCTACCAAATTCATTGATTACCTATAGTAGTTTTCTGGTAGCATCTTTAGGATTCTCTATGTATAGTATCATGTCATCTGCAAACAGTGACAGCTTTACTTCTTCTTTTCCGATTTGGATTCCCTTTATTTCCTTTTCTTCTCTGATTGCTGTGGCCAAAACTTCCAAAACTATGTTGAATAAGAGTGGTGAGAGTGGGCAACCTTGTCTTGTTCCTGATTTTAGTGGAAATGCTTTCAGTTTTTCACCATTGAGGATGATGTTGGCTGTGGGTTTGTCATATATGGCCTTTATTATGTTGAGGAAAGTTCCCTCTATGCCTACATACTGCAGGGTTTTCATCATAAATGGGTGTTGAATTTTGTCGAAAGCTTTCTCTGCATCTATTGAGATGATCATATGGTTTTTCTCCTTCAATTTGTTAATATGGTGTATCACATTGATTGATTTCCGTATATTGAAGAATCCTTGCATTCCTGGAATAAACCCCACTTGATCATGGTGTATGATCCGTTTTATGTGCTTTTTGATTCTGTTTGCTAGTATTTTGTTGAGGATTTTTGCATCTATGTTCATCAGTGATATTGGCCTGTAGTTTTCTTTCTTTGTGACATCCTTGTCTGGTTTTGGTATCAGGGTGATGGTGGCCTCGTAGAATGAGTTTGGGAGTGTTCCTCCCTCTGCTATATTTTGGAAGAGTTTGAGAAGGATAGGTGTTAGCTCTTCTCTAAATGTTTGATAGAATTCGCCTGTGAAGCCATCTGGTCCTGGGCTTTTGTTTGTTGGAAGATTTTTAATCACAGTTTCAATTTCAGTGCTTGTGATTGGTGTGTTCATATTTTCTGTTTCTTCCTGATTCAATCTTGGCAGGTTGTGCATTTTTATTTGTCCATTTCTTCCAGGTTGTCCATTTTATTGGCAGAGAGTTGCTTATAGTAATCTCTCATGATCTTTTGTATTTCTGCAGTGTCAGTTGTTACATCTCCTTTTTCATTTATAATTCTGTTGATTTGAGTCTTCTCCCTTTTTTCCTTGATGAGTCTGGCTAATGGTTTATCAATTTTGTTTATCTTCTCAAAGAACCAGCTTTTAATTTTATTGATCTTTGCTATCGTTTCTTTCATTTCTTTTTCATTTATTTCTGATCTGATCTTTATGATTTCTTTCCTTCTGCTAACTTTGGGTTTTTTTTGTTCTTCTTTCTCTAATTGCTTTAGGTGCAAGGTTAGGTTGTTTATTCGAGATGTTTCCTGTTTCTTACGGTAGGATTGTATTGCTATAAACTTCCCTCTTAGAACTGCTTTTGCTGCATCCCATAGATTTTGGGTCGTCGTGTCTCCATTGTCATTTGTTTCTAGGTATTTTTTGATTTCCTCTTTGATTTCTTCAGTGATCACTTGGTTATTAAGTAGTGTATTGTTTAGCCTCCATGTGTTTGTATTTTTTACAGATCTTTTCCTGTAATTGATATCTAGTCTCATAGCGTTGTGGTCGGAAAAGATACTTGATACAATTTCAATTTTCTTAAATTTACCAAGGCTTGATTTGTGACCCAAGATATGATCTATCCTGGAGAATGTTCCATGAGCACTTGAGGAGAATGTGTATTCTGCTGTTTTTGGATGGAATGTCCTATAAATATCAATTAAGTCCATCTTGTTTAATGTATCATTTAAAGCTTGTGTTTCCTTATTTATTTTCATTTTGGATGATTTGTCCATTGGTGAAAGTGGGGTGTTAAAGTTCCCTAGTATGAATGTGTTACTGTTGATTTCCCCTTTTATGGCTGTTAGTATTTGCCTTATGTATTGAGGTGCTCCTATGTTGGGTGCATAAATATTTACAATTGTTATATCTTCTTCTTGGATCGATCCCTTGATCATTATGTAGTGTCCTTCTTTGTCTCTTCTAATAGTCTTTATTTTAAAGTCTATTTTGTCTGATATGAGAATTGCTACTCCAGCTTTCTTTTGGTTTCCATTTGCATGGAATATCTTTTTCCATCCCCTCACTTTCAGTCTGTATGTGTCTCTGGGTCTGAAGTGGGTCACTTGTAGACAGCAAATATATGGGTCTCGTTTTTGTATCCATTCAGCCAATCTGTTTCTTTTGGTGGGAGCATTTAGTCCATTTACATTTAAGGTAATTATCGATATGTATGTTCCTATTCCCATTTTCTTAATTGTTTTGGGTTCGTTATTGTAGGTCTTTTCCTCCTCTTGTGTTTCTTGCCTAGAGAAGATCCTTTAGCAGTTGTTGTAAAGCTGGTTTGGTGGTGCTGAACTCTCTCAGCTTTTGCTTGTCTGTAAAGGTTTTAATTTCTCCATCAAATCTGAATGAGATCCTTGCTGGGTAGAGTAATCTTGGTTGCAGGTTTTTCTCCTTCATCACTTTAACTATGTCCTGCCAGTTCCTTCTGGCTTGCAGAGTTTCTGCTGAAAGATCAGCTGTTAACCTTATGCGGATTCCCTTGTGTGTTATTTGTTGTTTTTCCCTTGCTGCTTTTAATATGTTTTCTTTGTATTTAATTTTTGACAGTTTGATTAATATGTGTCTTGGTGTATTTCTCCTTGGATTTATCCTGTATGGAACTCTTTGTGCTTCCTGGACTTGATTAACTATTTCCTTTCCCATATTAGGGAAGTTTTCAACTATAATCTCTTCAAATGTTTTCTCAGTCCCTTTCTGTTTCTCTTCTTCTTCTGGAACCCCTATAATTCAAATGTTGGTGTGCTTAATGTTGTCCCAGAGGTCTCTGAGACTGTCCTCAGTTCTTTTCATTCTTTTTTCTTTATTCTGCTCTGCAGTAGTTATTTCCACTATTATATCTTCCAGGTCACTTATCCGTTCTTCTGCCTCAGTTATTCTGCTATTGATCCCATCTAGAGTATTTTTAATTTCATTTATTGTGTTGTTCATCGTTGTTTGTTTCATCTTTAGTTCCTCTAGGTCCTTGTTAAATGTTTCTTGCATTTTGCCTATCTATTTCCAAGATTTTGGATCATCTTTACTCTCATTATTCTGACTTCTTTTTCAGGTAGACTGCCTATTTCCTCTTCATTTGTTAGGTCTGGTGGGTTTTTATCTTGCTCCTTCATCTGCTGTGTGTTTGTCTGTCTTCTCATTTTGCTTATCTTACTGTGTTTGGAGTCTCCTTTTTGCAGGCTGCAGGTTCGTAGTTCCTGTTGTTTTTGGTGTCTGTCCCCAGTAGCTAAGGTTGGTTCAGTGGGTTGTGTAGGCTTCCTGGTGGAGGGGACTAGTGCCTGTGTTCTGGTGGATGAGGCTGGATCTTGTCTTTCTGGTGGGCAGGTCCACGTCTTTTGGTATATTTTGGAGTGTCTGTGGACTTATTATGATTTTAGGCATCCTCTTTGCTAATGGGTGTGGCTGTGTTCCTGTCTTGCTAGTTGTTTGGCATAGGATGTCCAGCACTGTAGCTTGTTGGTCATTGAGTGAAGCTGGATGCTGGTCTTGAGATGGAGATCTCTGGGAGATTTTCACTGTTTGATATTATGTGGAGCTGGGAAGTCTCTTGTGGACCAGTGTCCTGAAGTTGGCTCTCC